ACCCAACTGGGCGGCAGCTTTACAGTCATGTGCAGGCTGCACCTTCAGTAAGCACACTTTGGAAACTTGGCTAAGATTCCTGGCAGTACATCATTATGAATGACGTACTTACACATTTCTTCGACTCCATTGATGATGTTATCTCTGAATTCTGCATTTTTTTCACATTTCAATATATAATGACTAAAATATGCGAGTAGTTCTGCTGACAGAGTTTACATTTATGCAAATCTCCATCAGCAGATGTTACAAACTCGCAGTGGTACTTGTAGCCGAGCCTAAGCCTAGCAGTGGCATCATCTAGAAGTCTGCTAACCTTATTGGATTACCCATAGGTGCCCAGGCAGCCAATGTACTAGTAGAGAGAATGTCCATCCAAAGTTAGAGGCCGCACGGCTGGGGCCAGCATCACACAAATTGGCAGAGGGAGTGGTATGAGGTATGGGATGAACATAGGCTGGTCGGGGTGGCCAGAAATCAAAAGGGAACAGCGTGCCAGGGTCACTCTCAGACCCCACGACGATTCTTGACACTGCCCGCCAGCTACACAGCTAAATATTTTCAAAACAAACTTTTGAAAAAAACTTAGTAATATGCAGCATTATTCACCGAGTTTGGGAAAGTTAGCAGACATTTCCTGCTGTCAAATTTCGTCTGTTTTATGTGTATTCGCATAAAAGAGACGATTCGTCTACAGGTTCAGAGGCATCTCAAACCACAGTCCTTTATCAGAGGGAGGGAGCTATGAGGAGAAAGCGCCCAGCCATTACCGCTATATAGCAATTGGAAGGGGTCAGGATAAGGATTTGGGATGGAACGGGGAATGGAATGGTGCCCAACCACTTGGACGGTCGGGAACTGAATGCAGACCTGCATGAAGCGAGTCTGTCACTCTACCGTCCAGCTCAAGTGGTTGGGCAAATAACAGCTGCCTCCACTCATGGGTGAAGGATAGGGACTGTGGTGAAGGATAGAGAAGTAGAAAGGAGCATCTATTCTGTTTTTAGTATTTCACACCACCAAGTTCCACTCATTGGTTACCACCCACACATTAGATAATTATATTTATAAAAGAGAGAGAGAAACAGACAGAGAAAAAGACAGAGACAGATAATCAAAGATGAATAGATAGATGAAATAACCGATGGATAAATGGATGGATAGACAGATGGATAGATAGAGGAATGGTGTGAGGAGTGGCTGTAGTCCAAGCTGCCTTCAGGTGAGAGTTGTTCCAGGGTGTTCCCTCCATGTCTGAGGATCTGTACATAATGGAACATGAATAATAGATGAAAGTAGGTTCATAAAATAAAGAATAATGAGGTTCTTGGGAATTAGGAAGGAAAATATTATGAGGAGAAGGACTCAGAAGTTGATGTACCAGTTTGGACGAGGTGGGGATTCCCGAGATATACAGAGCTTTCGAATCCAACATGAGCAAGAAAAAGCGGTGTTGGCCAATCAGCGTCTTGCGAGACGAGACGAGACGAGATGAGACGCTGACTGGGAGCGAGCTAAGACAAAGACTAAGACTAGATACAGAATAAGGCACCCCGAGGGGCAGGCAGGAAAAAAAGTGTCAGGATTAAACCCAGCTGCGTGGTGTCGTTAAATTGCGACAGTTGAGAAAAGTATTTAGTCGGGTGGTTTAGCGAGAACAAACAGGGACATCAGCAAACTCCCACATCATCACAATGAGAACCCGATACCTGATATTATCTTCCTAGGTGACTTCAACTTGCCTAGTCTCAGATGGAGAATAGCAAACAATAATATTATGCCAGGAAATCTATCAGGACCTAACCAACCACTGATTAGAGAACTACTTAGATTCTGTGACATATTTTCACTCAACCAGCAGATATCAGAGCCAACGACAAAATGAAAATATTCTAGATCTGGTCTTTGCGAACAATGAAGACATAATCAGGGACATTACGGTATCAGATACCACATACTCAGAGCACAAGCTCATTGAAGTGCAAACGATCTTCAATACTCAGAATAGACCTAAAACGTTGATAAAGCAAGAAGGGTTATTCAGTAAATTAAATATTAATAATAAAAGGATAGACTGGGAGAAAATAAACAGGAAACTTACAAACATTCCATGGGAAACTGTTCTAAGTAATACAAGTGCTACAGAAGGAATTGAAAAACTGACTTCGGAAGCGTATCAAGTCTGTCTGAAACATGTTCCTTTGAGGAAGGCCAGAAAAAGGTCCAACGAAGAAAGAGAACGCAGACGACACTATAGAAGAAGGAAAAAAATAGCGGAAATGCTTAAGCAGACACGACTTTCCTTGTAAAGAAGGAATAATTTAAATAGGGAGATTGAAGAAATCGAGCGGAAATTGAAACACTCAAACTTCATTAGACTGAAGAAAGGCAGTTAGAACAGAAACCAGTTCAGGAAATAAAGAAAAATCCAAAAAACTTCTTCACGTATGCGAAACCAAAAGCAAAAACCACTGCCAGTATTGGACCTATTCGTACGAGTGAAGGTTCATACACGGAGGATGACAAAGAAATTAGTGAAATCCTAAAAAAACAGTATGAGGACATGTTTAGCACTCCGATACTCAGCATGTAAGTGGAAGATCCATACAATTTCTTTATGCATGATATCCAAACCCCTGTAAATATAACTGATATCAACATGAGTATACTAGATTTTGAAAGAAAAATTGAAAACATGCCCATGCACTCAGCTCCGGGTCCAGATTCATGGAATTCAATATTTATAAAGAAATGCAAGGTGCCAGTAGCACAGGCACTCAGTATAGTGAGGAGGAAGAGCTTGGACACAGGGGATATACCAGATGCACTTAAAGCAGCAGACATAGCCCCTCTACACAAGAGAGGGAGCAAAGCATTGGCAAAGAATTATAGACCAGTTGCACTAACGTCTCACGTAATAAAAGTATTTGAGATAGTGATTAGGAGTCAGGTCATCAGTTTCATGGAGACCAATGACCTTCACAATCCAGGCCAACATAGACTTCGAACGGGAAGATCGTGCCTCTCACAGCTACTTGATCACTACGACAAAATCACTGAGGCATTAGAAGAAAAACAGAATGCTGATGTGGTATACACGGCTTCGCAAAGACTTTCGATAAATGTGACCATGGAGTGATAGCACACAAAATGAGGTCAATGGGAATAACCGGTAAAGTAGGACACTGGATACTCAGTTTTCTGTCAAACAGGACTCAACGAGTAACAGTCAACCATATAAAATCGAGTCCAAGCGCAGTTAAAAGTTCTGTACCTCAGGGTACAGTCCTTGCACCGCTGCTTTTCCTTATTCTCATATCAGATATAGACAAAAATACAAGTCACAGTTTCATTTAATCCTTTGCAGATGACACAAAAGTCAGCATGAAAATTACCTCTGCTGAAGACATTGAAAAACTACAAGCATATATGAGTAAAGTTTTCGACCGGGCAACAAAAAATAACATGATGTTTAACTGTGATAAATTCCAGGTACTCAGGTACGGTAAAAATGAGGACCTTAAACATAATACAGGGCACAAAACACAATAAAATGTACCCATAGTAGGAAAGCAGCATGTAAAGGATTTGGTAATAATGATGTCTAACGACCTAACGTTTAGGAACATAACCAAGCAAATATTGCGTCAGCCAGGAAAATGATCGGATGGATTACGAGAACTTTCAAATCCAGGGATCCCATCACAATGGTTGTATTATACAAATCATTTGTTCTGTCCCGTCTTGAGTACTGCTCAGTATTCACTTCCCCCTTCAGAGCAGGAGAGATTGCTGAAATCGAGGAAATACAGAGAACATATACGGCTTACATAGATGCAATAAAGCACCTAAAATATTTGAATCGTCTTAAAGTTCTCCAAATGTATTCACTAGAAAGACGACGAGAGAGATATCAAATAATATACACGTGGAAAATACTGGAGGGCCAGGTACCAAATCTACACAGTAAAATAACAACATACTGGAGTGAACGATATGGAAGAAAACGCATAACAGAACCAGTGAAGAGCAGAGGTGCCATAGGCACAATTAGAGAACCCTGTATAAACATCAGAGGGCCACAGTTGTTCAACACCCTCCCAGCGAGCATAAGAAATATTGCCGGAACAACCGTGGACATCTTCAAGAGGAAACTAGATTGTTTCCTTCAAGGAGTGCCGGAACAACCGGGCTGTGGTGGGTATGTGGGCCTGCGGGCCGCTCCAAGCAACAGCTTAGTGGACCAAACTGGCCAGGCTTGGGGAGTAGAAGAACTCCCAGAACCCCATCAAGCAGGTATCAACCAGATTGGCTCAAAAGTGTCAGGGATGAACTTTATGGATGGTTTGAGCTGGGTATTGAAAGCTTGAATTTTTATAGGTGCTGTGTGTTGTGAGCTAGAAATCAACGAAATACAAAGTTAGGAGGAGGATCATAGGTAGTGGAGAAGAGATCGTGCGTGTTACGTGGATGTCTGAAGAGTGTGTTGAAGTAAATAAATGTGTTGTTCATGATAAGAGAGGAGTCTGTCAATCTGTTTGTCTAGTAAAGCTTTCCAATAGACATTGAGGGCAGAAATGTTGGTACTGTCATGGAGGCTTTCGCTGGTATTGAAGTCTTCCCATCGAGTGTTGAGTACATATCTAAGTGCTCTATTTTTAATTATCTGAAGTTTTAGTTTATTAGTGAGTGCTGCTAAAGAAAGAACAAGTGGAGCATATGTTAGGAGAGGTCTGATAAGTGCTTTATAGAGGTGCAGTTTTGTATCAGCTTTGGCAAATCTAAGTCTGTATAATTTACTTATGGCCTAGAGAGCTAGTGCATGTTTCTGTGCAGTGTGTGTATGAAAGTGTTGATCAAGTGTGAGGCCAAGAACTGTAGTGGAAGGAGATACAAAAATGTTAGTTGGAGTAGGAAAGAGTGAAGAGAGTTGAACAGGAAGAGGGCGTGCAGTTCTTTTACAGAATAACTAGATGAATTTGGATTTGTTGAGGTTAGTTTTAATGCGTCCAGTCATACTCCCATTCTGTTACAGCATCGAGTTCTTCTTGTGCTTTCCGTGATAATGTGTCTATGGAGTAGCTGGCGACAAAGTAAGTGATTTTATCAGCGTAGTAGATAGTTAATGAAGTGCGATTAATAGGCTCAGAGATGTCGCTGATGTATAGGATGCAAAGTGTCGGGGCAAGGACAGAGCCTTGGAGAAACATCGGCATGTAAGTCAATATAGTCTGAGTGTCATCGGAGGAACTTAATCCTCATAGTCCTATTGTCTAAATAGTTTAGTGGTGATGAAGGGAAGATTAAAGTTACTTCAGAGTCTAAATTTGAGGCCGTCATTTCCAACAGTGTCAAAGGCCTTCTACACGTCTTTAGTAATAAGTACAGTCTTAAGTCTCTGGTTATGGTTGATGCTGATGTAATTGGTCATGATATTTAAGGAGTCATGTGTGGACCGGTGAGGCTGGAAGCAAAAGTGTTTATTAGTAAGTCATTGTCTTCCAGGTGCGTTCTGAGTCTCATGTTGACCAGCCTTTCAAAGACTTTGCCAAGTGTCTCTAAAATGAGTCTGTAATTTCGCCAATTAATTTCCGAGAACGAGAGGTGGCGGACGTGCTGTCTCTGGGCCCGTTCTTACCTGGGCTAGTCTCGACATTTTAAAGCTTGTGAGAAGGCCAGAACCAATAATAGTTAAGCCCGGGACTTCCAGGAGGAATGTGGCCCAGAAGCTGGCCTCGTATGTAGACGGATTGACTGGGATGGTGAGGAAGATGAGCCGAGGGCCTCGCCTCGGGGCGACCAGGAGCCTGACCCACTGAGGCGGTCACGTGTCGTCAAGAGGACGACGTTCATCAGTAGCCGCACCTAAGGACGAGGCGGGGACTGGTACACAAGGAGGGGTCCCCATGGCAAGAACTCTACACTGAAGAGAATTCGGAAGGACAAGGAAGATAAATAGGAGCCCGAGAGTAGAGGCACGGTGATCACCCAGTGATTTCTTCAGTAACCGCAAGTAGTGGGATGTACGCTTCAGCAGTAACTTTTGATAGTTAGGAAAAGTTACTGTTGAACTCTTAAGAGTTCTTAGGGGGGAAATTCGAGGCCAAAGTTACTGCTGATGTCTTAAGGAATTCTTATGGGGGAAATTCAAGATAAAAATCGTACCTGATGTCTTAAAGAATTCTTAGGGGAAAATTTCGAGGCAAAAGTCGGCGCTGACCTTCCACCTGCTTTCAGGTGAAATGTTTCAGTCTTATTCTGGCTAAATAGAATCAGTCAGTCTGTCTGACTGAAATACTTCAGTCTGCCCGAAACGCTATGCATGCTAGTGACTTTACAAGAATGTAAATCTTCAGTACTCAGTACTCTCATAAACCCAATGTACCTTTTTGAATATAAATAAATAAAATAAATAAATAAAATAAATAAATAAATAAATTATTCGCCGCAGCCCTGGCACCTGATTTCTGGCAGACTTTTCAGAGTCAATGTTCAGAGAACAGTTTAATTAGGAGATTGTTAAAGAAACCTTATTAGGGTAATTCAGGGGTTTAAGTCGTCTCTGCGTTCTTATTTTAAACTCTACTGACGTAAGTTTATATTTTCAAAAATTCATTCACATTATCAGAAGTTAGTTCTTGGACCCGGCTGTATACATTTATATGTGTAGTTTCGCTTCTAAAAACCCAATTATGGCCCAATTAAAAACAGTCATACTTCTAACGTAGTAAGAAAATAAAATAGAGTTACCGAGTTCTAGCTCTCGTCCCCCGCCTTAGTTTACTCCCATAGACTCGATACTATCAGTCCAATCACCCTGAAATTTAAACTCGCTGTATTTCGGACATAATAAAATATATAAAACCATTACTGAGCTCCGGCTCTTGTCCTCCGCCTTACTTTACTCCTACAGAGTTGGAGTTGTACCTCAAGGTACAACTCCGCTATTAACCGATTAGTTTCCTCGAGATTTAAAACATAGTTATTTCAGACATAGTAATAAAAAAAGAGTTATCGTGCTCCAGCTCTTGTTCCCGCCTTAAATCATTCATACAACTTTGCTACTTCCAGTTCAAATCCTCTAAAATTTAAACCTATTGTATTTCAGACATTGTAAAATAAATTAAAGCAAATACCGAGAATCTCTACCGAGATTCAGCTCCTGACCTCCGCCTTAGTTCAATGTTCATCAAACTTAGTTATTCCAGAACCTCAGACTGGCTCCCGCCTCTCTCCTTATCAAAGTAAACATATCCTCTCCTTTAATACTCTTGTTTAATTATTTGTGTAAATAATCACTCACCAGGTAATAATTGTCGTAAAAAACGACACTATTTACTAACTTTCAATACAATAGACAGATAATATTGCTGCTGCTTTACTACAAACTAATTAACCCAAAGTATATTTTTTATTCATTCAAAGAAAACAAGATTGCAGTGGAATTTTCCCCGGAAGAAAATAGGATATCATTGCCACGTCGCCATTAAATTCACCAGCTAGTAATATTGGGAATTCTTCTTTAAACCTCAGTCTCTGGACTGTAAACACCAAAAAAACATTTACCTTGAACCAACTTAATTATCAGTACTAAAATAGTTTAAATATAAACCCTCTTTCCACTTCTTGATAAAACGCATCTGGAGAACAGCCGATGCGGGGGTGGCGAGGGGGTGGGAGTAGCCATTTTAACTCTGGACAGTTCGAGCGTGTCGTGTACTTGTGCATAACAGGTTATTGTCGAAGTCTTAGACAGCACAAATCGGCACCGTCGCACCAAGGAAGGCATTATATCCGTACAGTATACTAAATGATTTGTAACGTTCTTATTTCATTGTGTAATTATACTTTAATAGTTATGCTGTATGTAAACAATAGATCCGAGGGTGAGCAACAATCTTATCTCTTTATTACAGATTATTATCATCTATACAAATAAAAATGGAAATATTCGTTTGTTCATAATCGCTAATCTCCGAAAGTTCTTCACCGATTGCTTTGACATTTTCACACAACGTTCTATTCGCATCCGAGCGGGTTTTTATATACATACTATATAGATGTAATGTCTGTGAACGGAAAAAAACATGTTTTTTTTTTTAACTGTGTTTTTCATGTGAGGGGAAATCTTCGAAACCTCTTTACCGATTGCTTTGCAATTTTGACACAACGTTGCATTCGAATAAGCGCGCGTTTTTATATATCTACTATGTACATGCCTCACTAGTGACAGGAAAAAAACATGCATTTTTGAAAAACGACGCCATCTGTTGGACGTAGGAGCAACACACGCTGTAATCTCCGAAAGTTTTTCACTGATTGCTTTGAAATTTTGACAAGTAGTTTCATTCGAATACGTGGGTGTGTTTATATAATTACTAAATAGATGTCACACCTGTGACAGGTAAAAACAGCTTAAAAAAAAACAGTGCCATCTGTTGCACGTAAGAGCAACATATGCTATACTGAATATTTTACGATTCCATTTCAGTGTTTCCTAGAGCATTGATAAATAGAATTTTTCATAGATTTCCATTTATTTTCATTTTGATTTAAATACTTTGTGTGAAATTGCGTCGGAATTGAGCTTTGTTGTTTATCCCATACCATTCATTTCGTAAGTATAATTATAGATGCCACACCTGTGTCAGGTAAAAACATTATTTTTTTTTAAGAAACAGCGCCATCTGTTGTATGTAAGAGCAACAAACACTATATTAAATATGTTATGATTCCATTTCAATGTTTCTGATTGTTTTGACATATTGAATTTTAACATATTTCTATTTATTTTCATATGGATTTAATTATTATTTGTGACATTGCGTTGGAATTGAGCTGTGTTGTTTACCATACCATTCATTTCGTAAGCTCAGTTTATTTTTTTATTTTTCATTGTTTTTCATTTCGTTTTTTGGACTGTTTTTCTTATATTTCAGTGATGGGGAACATCCGATCATTTGATGTTCACAATTTTCTGATGGGAACATCAGATCATTTGGGATGAATCGGAGGAGGGAGTGGGGAATGGTGGGGGAGGACGAGGGGACAGAGGAGGGGGGTAATGGTGGGGTAGGACGAGGGAACGGAGGAGATGGGGATGGTGGGGACGAGGGAACAGGGAAATGGTGAATGGTGGGGAGGACAAGGGAGCAGGGGAGTGGGGAATAGTGGGGAAGACGAGGGGATGGGGAAGAGGGGAATGGTTGGGAGGATGAGGGGAGGGGAAATGGGAGATGGTGGGGAAGACGAGGGGACGGTTGAGGGGTGAATGGTGGGGAGGTCTGGGAGACAGGGGAAGGTTGCTGTTGTTCACCAATGCACACGCGTTGCTGAGCCACAGCAACGCGTGGCCGGGTAAAGCTAGTTATACATCAAACTAAATAATTTATATGTGGCAAAACTTACGGTGTAAACTCATCCGCAAGTAAACTGAGAAGTGAAGTTACTAATGAGTCCACGTGACTGGCTGGCTACCCACTTGCTCTACATCAATACCAGAATATTGAAGCCTTCTAGTCAGATAAGGTTTACGTTTTCATTCACTAATTTGTAGTCTAACCCTGATAACATTGAATGTCTACCAATTACAATAATATGTCTACTAATTCCAGATTCCAAGAATGTCTACCAATTGTCTGCCAATAACAGTGAATGTCTACAATCGATTAATTTCGATTGATAAACTATATAAATAATTCCCCCCCCCCCCAGCTTGTGAAGGAAACGATTTGTGGGAATTTAAATTATAAAGTCCACTTTAACATCATACAGTCTGCTACTGAAATAAATTAATTAATATAAGAAATAAATTACTATATGAATTAAAAATAAATTACTATATGAATTAAAAATAAATTAATATATGAATTAAAAGTAAATTATAAATTAGAATTTATTAAGTAAATTAATAATTGTATTAAAATAAATCAATAAATCCCATGAGACACATTTTCCCACAATAATCACCCGGTCATAACACTCCTTATCTCCCCCCTCACCCCCTCCCTAACCCTTCCTTCCTCAATCCCTCTCTCTCTCCCTCCCTCCCTCCCTCCCTCCCTCCCTCCCTCCCTCCCCTCCCTCTCTCCCTCCATGATCCCCCCCCCCCACGCTCGTCCGCCCACTAATCTCCCTCTCACCCCTTTATCTTCCCCTTCCCTTACCTCCCCCACCTTCCCCAACCCACCCACACCTCCCTCCCTCCCTCCCCAGAATTGAATAATACAACTATCATCCAATACTCTTACTGTATTTGTGTATTCTCTCCGTGTTCACAGCATATTCTCTGTATAACTGTTATACTCATTACTCATGTTCCCTGTATGTTCAAATAATAATTTTCGCCTGTTTTTCAGTGTTCTTTGAATTATTTTTCACGTTTTATACAAATTCCACTCATGTTCTCTGTGTTCTTTGTCATGTTCTCAAAATGTTCTTTACGTGTTCTTCACACGTTCTTCGTTCATTCTTCGCGTATGTTATATATTTTTTCATGTTTTCATGTTCTCTGCAAGTTCAAGTCATATTCCCTCCACATGTTCTCTATGTTCATCAACTTCTCTCATAAGTTCTCTGTGTTCTTTTTCACATGCTCCATGTTCTCAGAATGTTCTTCACAAGTTCGTTGTTCATTCTTCTTATAATCTATGTATTCTCTTCATCTATATATTCTCTTTATGTTTCACATTCTCTGCAAGTTCCGTTCATATTCCCTCCACATGTTCACTAAGTTCACCGCATTTTCTTACATGTTCTTTAAAATCAAATGTACAAATGTATCTTCCGTTCAGTAACTAGTTCTTTATCAAATATTATCAACGGCATTACAGTTCCCAACATATTTAGTTTCAGTTTATTTAGCTAATTACAATATATTTATTATAAAGTAATTATTAAGTCATTTACCAAGATTTATTTTTAAACAACTGTGTCAATGTATTTCTTCTTAAGAACTTATTATTTCTTACCAGCACTGTTCTTTAACCAGTATTACCCTTCATGTAGTAACATATGTACCAACACATTCTTTTCTTATAGTGTCTTACTAAGAATTATTCGTCAATCAAATGTAACTTATCTAACCCTTTTTAATGTAACTTACTCAACCCATCCTAATGTAACTTACTCAACCCATCCTAATGTAACTTACTCAACCCATCCTAATGTAACTTACTCAACCCATCCTAATGTAACTTACTCAACCCATCCTAATGTAACTTACTCAACCCATCCTAATGTAACTTACTCAACCCATCCTAATGTAACTTACTCAACCCATCCTAATGTAACTTACTCAACCCATCCTAATGTAACTTACTCAACCCATCCTAATGTAACTTACTCAACCCATCCTAATGTAACTTACTCAACCCATCCTAATGTAACTTACTCATCCCATCCTAATGTAACTTACTCAGCCCATCCTAATGTAACTTACTCAACCCATCCTAATGTAACTTACTCATCCCATCCTAATGTAACTTACTCAGCCCATCCTAATGTAACTTACTCATCCCATCCTAATGTAACTTACTCAGCCCATCCTAATGTAACTTACTCAACCCATCCTAATGTAACTTACTCAACCCATCCTAATGTAACTTACTCATCCCATCCTAATGTAACTTACTCAACCCATCCTAGTGTAACTTACTCAACCCATCCTAATGTAACTTACTCAGCCCATCCTAATGTAACTTACTCAACCCATCCTAATGTAACTTACCTAACCCATCCTAATGTAACTTACCTAACCCATCCTAATGTAACTTACTCAACCCATCCAAATGTAACTTACTCAACCCATCCTAATGTAACTTACTCAACCCATCCTAATGTAACTTACTCAACCCATCCTAATGTAACTTACCTAACCCATCCTAATGTAACTTACCTAACCCATCCTAATGTAACTTACTCAACCCATCCTAATGTAACTTACCTAACCCATCCTAATGTAACTTACTCAACCCATCCAAATGTAACTTACTCAACCCATCCTAATGTAACTTACTCAACCCATCCTAATGTAACTTACTCAACCCATCCTAATGTAACTTACCTAACCCATCCTAATGTAACTTACCTAACCCATCCTAATGTAACTTACTCAACCCATCCTAATGTAACTTACCTAACCCATCCTAATGTAACTTACTCAACCCATCCTAATGTAACTTACTCAACCCATCCTAATGTAACTTACTCAACCCATCCTAATGTAACTTACTCAACCCATCCTAATGTAACTTACTCAACCCATCCTAATGTAACTTACTCAACCCATCCTAATGTAACTTACTCAACCCATCCTAATGTAACTTACTCAACCCATCCTAATGTAACTTACTCAACCCATCCTAATGTAAGTTACCTATCCCAACTACATATCCTCTTCTACCTGCTGTAACTTACATAACTTAGCCTACCTGACGTAACTTGCCCATCCTGACATTGCGTAACTTTACAGAACTTACCAAATTACGTGCCCTCACCTACCTACCCCAACCCAACTTACCCATCCTGACCCAACCTAACTTCCATGACTTACTAACTTAACTTATGTATTCCAACTTACATATCCTTACCTACCTGATAGAACTTACACAACCAATCCTTCGTGACATAACTTACCCATCCTAACTTGGGCTAACTTCCATAACTTAATAATGCAACTTACCTATACTAACTTAGTCTGTCCTGTAGGGGCCTGCCAGCTGAGTAGACAGCGCTTCGGATTCGTAGTCCTGAGGTTCCGGGTTCGATCCCCGGTGGAGGCGGAAACAAATGGGCAGAGTTTCTTTCACCCTGATGCCCCTGTTACCTAGCAGTAAATAGGTACCTGGGAGTTAGACAGCTGTTACGGGCTGCTTCCTGGGAGTGTGTAACAAAAAGGAGGCCTGGTCGAGGACCGGGCCGCGGGGACGCTAAGCCCCGAAATTATCATTAGACAACCTCAAGAAGATCCTAATGTAACTTACCTAACCTAACCTACCAGACATAACTTACCTACCCTTTCACCTTACCTTTCACTATCTTTCTTACCTTTCACCACCTTCCTCACCTTTCACCACCTCCCTTACCTTTCACCACCTTCCTTACCTTTCACCACCTTCCTTACCTTTCACCACCTCCCTTACCTTTCACCACCTCCCTTACCTTTCACTACCTTCCTTACCTTTCACCACCTTCCTTACCTTTCACCACCTCCCTTACCTTTCACCACCTTCCTTACCTTTCACCACCTTCCTTACCTTTCACCACCTACCTTACCTATCACCACCTCTCTAATCAGCACCTTTTCACTTCATCTTTATGATCATAGTGAGGATGACGTCTTATCTTAAGCGAGATCGAAAGTTAGTAAGCTTTACCATTTAAGTCAAACGTGGTGTAAAAGATTTCGACTATGATCCACCCCATCCAAAGACCAGTCACCCTGCAAACTTTAGTGAGACTAGCTCCCAGCGTCTGGCCGTTCACCTCCAATAAGCCAACAGGCAATAATATATTTTACAGATATAGACATAAACAACTGTGACATAGAATTAAACAGCAACGTTTGCTAATTTGTAGACTATTACAAAATAGGGAAGTAAATTCTCCCGATACAAGATCTGGACAGGTATTAAAAATGGAGGAATTTCAGGTGATTATCGTCGGGTCGTGAACTATGGCAACGAGCGTACAGTTGCCAGATGTCGGCGGGAGTGTTATTGTTATACGATTTGTTTGTTTCTGAAGAAATCGTATAACAATAACATTCACCTCCCTTCAACACTGCTATGTTGAAGGGAGGAGTCTTCCCTGTGTTGAAGGGAGGAGTCTTCCCTGTGTTGAAGGGAGGAGTCTTCCCTGTGTTGAAGGGAGGAGTCTTCCCTGTGTTGAAGGGAGGAGTCTTCCCTGTGTTGAAGGGAGGAGTCTTCCCTGTGTTGAAGGGAGGAGTCTTCCCTGTGTTGAAGGGAGGAGTCTTCCCTGTGTTGAAGGGAGGAGTCTTCCCTGTGTTGAAGGGAGCATTCTTCCCTGTGTTGAAGGGAGCATTCTTCCCTGTGTTGAAGGGAGCATTCTTCCCTGTGTTGAAGGGAGGAGTCTTCCCTGTGTTGAAGGGAGCATTCTTCCCTGTGTTGAAGGGAGGATACTTCCCTGTGTTGAAGGGAGCATTCTTCCCTGTGTTGAAGGGAGCATTCTTCCCTATGTTGAAGGGAGGAGTCTTCCCTGTGTTGAAGGGAGCATTCTTCCCTGTGTTGAAGGGAGGATACTTCCCTGTGTTGAAGGGAGGAGTCTTCCCTGTGTTGAAGGGAGGAGTCTTCCCTGTGTTGAAGGGAGGAGTCTTCCCTGTGTTGAAGGGAGGAGTCTTCCCTGTGTTGAAGGGAGGAGTCTTCCCTGTGTTGAAGGGAGCATTCTTCCCTGTGTTGAAGGGAGCATTCTTCCCTGTGTTGAAGGGAGCATTCTTCCCTGTGTTGAAGGGAGCATTCTTCCCTGTGTTGAACGGAGCATTCTTCCCTGTGTTGAAGGGAGCATTCTTCCCTGTGTTGAAGGGAGGAGTCTTCCCTGTGTTGAAGGGAGCATTCTTCCCTGTGTTGAAGGGAGGAGTCTTCCCTGTGTTGAAGGGAGCATTCTTCCCTGTGTTGAAGGGAGCATTCTTCCCTGTGTTGAAGGGAGGATACTTCCCTGTGTTGAAGGGAGGAGTCTTCCCTGTGTTGAAGGGAGGATACTTCCCTGTGTTGAAGGGAGGAGTCTTCCCTGTGTTGAAGGGAGGATACTTCCCTGTGTTGAAGGGAGGAGTCTTCCCTGTGTTGAAGGGAGGATACTTCCCTGTGTTGAAGGGAGGAGTCTTCCCTGTGTTGAAGGGAGGAGTCTTCCCTGTGTTGAAGGGAGGAGTCTTCCCTGTGTTGAAGGGAGGAGTCTTCCCTGTGTTGAAGGGAGGAGTCTTCCCTGTGTTGAAGGGAGCATTCTTCCCTGTGTTGAAGGGAGCATTCTTCCCTGTGTTGAAGGGAGCATTCTTCCCTGTGTTGAAGGGAGGAGTCTTCCCTGTGTTGAAGGGAGCATTCTTCCCTGTGTTGAAGGGAGGAGTCTTCCCTGTGTTGAAGGGAGCATTCTTCCCTGTGTTGAAGGGAGCATTCTTCCCTGTGTTGAAGGGAGGATACTTCCCTGTGTTGAAGGGAGGAGTCTTCCCTGTGTTGAAGGGAGGATACTTCCCTGTGTTGAAGGGAGGAGTCTTCCCTGTGTTGAAGGGAGGATACTTCCCTGTGTTGAAGGGAGGAGTCTTCCCTGTGTTGAAGGGAGGATACTTCCCTGTGTTGAAGGGAGGAGTCTTCCCTGTGTTGAAGGGAGGAGTCTTCCCTGTGTTGAAGGGAGGAGTCTTCCCTGTGTTGAAGGGAGGAGTCTTCCCTGTGTTGAAGGGAGGAGTCTTCCCTGTGTTGAAGGGAGCATTCTTCCCTGTGTTGAAGGGAGCATTCTTCCCTGTGTTGAAGGGAGCATTCTTCCCTGTGTTGAAGGGAGGAGTCTTCCCTGTGTTGAAGGGAGCATTCTTCCCTGTGTTGAAGGGAGCATTCTTCCCTGTGTTGAAGGGAGGATACTTCCCTGTGTTGAAGGGAGGAGTCTTCCCTGTGTTGAAGGGAGCATTCTTCCCTGTGTTGAAGGGAGCATTCTTCCCTGTGTTGAAGGGAGGATACTTCCCTGTGTTGAAGGGAACATTCTTCCCTGTGTTGAAGGGAGCATTCTTCCCTGTGTTGAAGGGAGGAGTCTTCCCTGTGTTGAAGGGAGGATACTTCCCTGTGTTGAAGGGAGGAGTCTTCCCTGTGTTGAAGGGAGGAGTCTTCCCTGTGTTGAAGGGAGGAGTCTTCCCTGTGTTGAAGGGAGGAGTCTTCCCTGTGTTGAAGGGAGGAGTCTTCCCTGTGTTGAAGGGAGCATTCTTCCCTGTGTTGAAGGGAGCATTCTTCCCTGTGTTGAAGGGAGCATTCTTCCCTGTGTTGAAGGGAGGAGTCTTCCCTGTGTTGAAGGGAGCATTCTTCCCTGTGTTGAAGGGAGCATTCTTCCCTGTGTTGAAGGGAGGATACTTCCCTGTGTTGAAGGGAGGAGTCTTCCCTGTGTTGAAGGGAGCATTCTTCCCTGTGTTGAAGGGAGCATTCTTCCCTGTGTTGAAGGGAGGATACTTCCCTGTGTTGAAGGGAACATTCTTCCCTGTGTTGAAGGGAGCATTCTTCCCTGTGTTGAAGGGAGGAGTCTTCCCTGTGTTGAAGGGAGCATTCTTCTCTGTGTTGAAGGGAGCATTCTTCCCTGTGTTGAAGGGAGCATTCTTCCCTGTGTTGAAGGGAGAAGGCTGGATTTTACCGTCCAACCACTTTGACTGGACGGTAGAGTGACGGTCTTGCTCCATGCAGGTCGGCGTTCAATCCCCGACCGTCCAAGTGGTTGGGCACCATTCCCCCCTCCCCCGTCCCACCCCAAATCCTTAACCTTACCCCTTCCATGTGTTATAAAGTCGTAATGGCTTGGCGCTTTCTCCTGATAATTAAAAAATTCTGGTCAATCTCAATTTCGACCGCAGATTGTTGACTTATTTTCCGTTCCTGTTGACTTCAGTCACCAAAGATCTTGACATTCTTCTCAGGATTGTTCCATGTGTGTGTTAAGTACATAGTTTAGCGAGAGGATTAAAAAAAGGTAGTTTGGTAATTAGCGCCGTAGATGATAAGAAAATTCAAAGTGTTAGTTTAGCATTTGATAACAAACGACGAGACTTACAACCCAACCACTAATGACCTCATTAGACGTTGAGCTGTAAGTCTTGTCCTAACCACACACTCAGACCTTAACAAGCACCCAGGAGAGTGTGAAACACTTGGTGTAATTGTGGACCATTGTCAAGTCCATTGTGAATTCTCATTCTCGATTGAGAATGGTCCAGGACGGACCGAAACGTCTTCGTCCCTTCACTTTTTAGTGTGTGGTCTGGTCACCATACTTCAGCCCCGTTATTGTGACTCCTCGTCTGCACTTGGTGTCATTTCCTTTCATACATCTCACACATTCACACGTCTCAGGTTCTAGCCTATAAACAAAACAAAAAATCACATAAGTAATAATAATAATAATAATAATAATAATAATAATAATAATAATAATAATAATAATAATAATAATAATAATAATAATAATATACAAGATCCAATACATAAGAGTATTTTTAATCACATAATTTTAATCACTACTTACCTAGTAAGTGGTGAACACTTACTAGGTAAGTGTACAAGCGGTGAACACTTACTAGGTAAGTGAACAAGTGGTGAACACTTACTAGGTAAGTGTACAAGCGGTGAACACTTACTAGGTAAGTGAACAAGTGGTGAACACTTACTAGGTAAGTGTACAAGCGGTGAACACTTACTAGGTAAGTGAACAAGTGGTGAACACTTACTAGGTAAGTGTACAAGCGGTGAACACTTACTAGGTAAGTGAACAAGTGGTGAACACTTACTAGGTAAGTGAACAACTGGTGAACACTTACTAGCTAAGTGAACATGTGGTAAAAATTTACAAGTAAAGTGGACGACACATTTGACCGCAGTAAGGTATCGTCTACACACATACTTGACCTGAGTCAAGTATCGAATACTGGAAAAAAGGAGATGTTGACACATTGAGGTGATGGCGGGCAGGCGGGGTCCGGGAGCTACAGCCTCACAGCTTGACCCTCACCTGCAGGACTACAGGTCGTAGTTCAAGCTCTGAGCACCACTTGACAACTCGTGTCAATATTGACATGCTCTCTATATGTAAAGTGTAATTACGTCAAGTTGTCTAGACCGAGGACCCCTGTCGCCCGCGGCCCCTCGGCTCCCTGGCCGTTAGTGGCGGGAAACAAATATTTCTATTGGGCCGAAGAAGCGGTTGTGCGCGGCGGTGTTTACCTCGGGGTGGAGCCGAGCCTCTTCACTGGTCAGGGCTCCTGGAGCGTCATTCATGGTGCAGGGTTCACGAGGGCCATTCTCTCACCCTCCATAGAGCCCTGAGAAAGGGTCTCTCCGGGTTATCGCTGCTCTCTTTCAGTCTGGCTTTATCCCGCCTCTCGTACAGTTGTGTCAACAATGGTGAGGCGCTGGTGCGGGCCGGATTGGTGAGATGATCCCGGCCGCTGCGTGAGGGGAATGGTCGTCCCGGATGAGGGAGGGGGAGGGGGGGGGAAAGGGGGGAAGGTAAGTCAAGCAGTGAGGGGAAAAGAGGGAGAATGAGACCAGCATCAGCAAGAAGAGGACGAGATGAAAGGTGAGCGCAGCATCAGCAGGGATGCTCTAGTTGTGACCTCAGTCCTTCTCCTCAGTACCCCCCCCCCCTGGCCGCGTTCTGAGAGCCATTCAACATCTTGATCGAATACCGAAACTGCCGTGAACATGTATTATGAAACATATTATCCAATGGGAGGCGTACTTTAACACCATGTCCAGCCTGTCTCAGACTGCCATTGGTTGAAGCACTCACTCTCCAGACGTCATCAAGCAAGGTGGGTCCATTGCCACCTCCACCACTCTGGACAGTCTCTGCCTGAGACCCGTTCATTGACCTCTAACAAGAACAAGAGTGTGGTCTTGAAGCTAGCCAGCGGCCCTTCCACTGCAGTTCTGGCCCAGGTTGCAGAAGCCAAGATGCTGAGCTGAGGACAATGACTCACTGTTATACCCACAAAAGAGGACAATCTAAGAAAAGTATGAAGGCAATTGGTGCAGTCACGTGGGAATTGATGACGATGATGACAGATGACAGAAAAGTGAGAATTGATGACAGAAAGAACTTCTTGCCACTACTTTTCTGCTATTTTTGAGAGAGGTGTGCACGAGATGCCTCTGGAGAAGATTACGTCAGTTAGCAGTAAGTACACAGCAATGTTTAGTGATCTGGTGAAGCGATAGTGAAACCTGCATCTAGATATCCGTGGAGTTACATTAAGTACTGGTCACAAATCTCATGCATTTCTCAGGGACAAATTATTCAGTGCTGTTAACACCCTATTGACTGATGCCAACATGCCAACTCACTCCCTTTATGATAAATGATTGAGTAAAATTTCCTACAATCTCATCAAACTCATCATTGCTTTTAAATGTAATCTACCTGTCTCCGATATTCCTCTTTATCTGTACCGCACTCTGTATGATACAAAAGTATCATACACACCCGACACCAAGTAAGGTAATGAGAATCTTGCTCTTCTCAAAGCTCTCACACTTGAAACAATTGCCTCCTCCATCGAAAATTTAAGATCTCACGAGCACTGTGTCTACACCGACGGCTCAGTCCAATCCTCTACTGTACGGACTGCAGCAGCATGTAGGGTTTACAGTACAGTAATAATATTTGCACACAGACTATCAGTGTCAGGTTAAACTACTGGCTGACCTCCACACAAACAGAACTAGCGGCACTACAGCTAGTTACCTGTTCATAACCAAACATAGGAGGAGGAATATTATTTTATGAGTCAAAGTCTGCTCTTCAAGCAACTGAAAACTTCTCCTGGAAGATCGACAGCAAGAACCTCACATTACCAGTTATAAATGATCTAATTGCCTCACAAAGTAAAACGTTTCGAATCACCATTGTATGGAGACCATCACTCACAAATATAATCCATCATAATAACACAGACATTACAGCCAAATTAGGGTGTAACAAAGATGAATTAGACCTAGGTATCCCCATCTCTGCTGACAAAACAATATTGTTCCAAGCGCTCAGGCCTGATTTGAGAGAAATTACTGACACTCAACGACCTGAAAGCACTAGTATAAAAAGCTATGATTTGTTCAGTTTTGAAACCGATGTTTATGGTCAGCACAAAACATCGACCAGACTGTGCGACACAGTGGTTGCCAGGATCAGGTTGGGTTACCGTTACCTGTGGCAGGGGGCTACAGGTGACGGATCTCCCAATCCTGAGCACTCCAGGTGCAAACTCTGTGAGCAGAACTGCGGCATGATCTCCCGCACTACATCACCGAATGCCTAGTTATCAGACCATTCAGACCAGTTGGCATGAGGTACCTGGAGCTTTGCAATTACTTTATTCACTCTCGTGTTCTTGAGGATATCCTCATTATGCACCCAAAGTCTGCCAGTATGACTAACCATCCTGTGTGATGGGGATCTTAACATCAAGTATATAATTTTTGACACTGTGCGCCCCATCATAGTCCAGGGTAACTGCACAAATACAGATGTACCTAAATGTGTTAATAAAAGAGTGATTACAATCTCTGAGGTATGGATACCCAAAGTGATCATAATCTCTGAGGTATGGATACCCAAAGTGATCATAATCTCTGAGGTATGGATACCCAAAGTGATCATAATCTCTGAGGTATGGACACCCAAAGTGATCACAATCTCTGAGGTATACTCCACATACTCAGGTCTCATATGAGGGGAAGAAATGACACAAAGGCGTGGAAGCGCCAGTATTAAAAGCTTTGATTTATTTGGAACTGAAATTACTATACATGCGCAGTGCAAAAAGTCCTCTGAGCTATCGTTACCTGTAGCAGGTGGGCATTAATCCCTGCATGGGTAACAGTGCAGGCTACACCCCACACCCCCTGCAAGGGTAACAGTGCAGGCTACACCCCCACACCCCCTGTAAGGGTAACAGTGCAGGCTACACCCCCCCTGCATGGGTAACAGTGCAGGCTACACCCCCACACCCCCTACATGGGTAACAGTGCAGGCTACACCCCACACCCCCTGCATGGGTAACAGTGCAGGCTACACCCCCACACCCCCTGCATGGGTAACAGTGCAGGCTACACCCCCCTGCATGGGTAACAGTGCAGGCTACACCCCCCCTACATGGGTAACAGTGCAGGCTACACGCCCCCCTGCATGGGTAACAGTGCAGGCTACACCCCCCACACCCCCTACATGGGTAACAGTGCAGGCTACACCCCACACCCCCTGCATGGGTAACAGTGCAGGCTACACCCCACACCCCCTACATGGGTAACAGTGCAGGCTACACCCCACACCCCCTGCATGGGTAACAGTGCAGGCTACACCCCACACCCCTACATGGGTAACAGTGCAGGCTACACCCCCCCCCTGCATGGGTAACAGTGCAGGCTACACCCCCCCCCTGCATGGGTATCAGTGCAGGCTACACCCCCACACCCCTACATGGGTAACAGTACAGGCTAAACCCCCACACTCCCTGCATAGGTAACAGTGCAGGCTACACCCCCCACACCCCCTGCATGGGTAACAGTGCAGGCTACACCCTACACCCCCTGCATGGGTAACAGTGCAGGCTAAACCCCCACACTCCCTGCATAGGTAACAGTGCAGGCTACACCCCCCACACCCCCTGCATGGGTAACAGTGCAGGCTACACCCTACACCCCCCTGCATGGGTAACAGTGCAGGCTAAACCCCCACACTCCCTGCATAGGTAACAGTGCAGGCAACACCCCCCACACCCCCTGCATGGGTAACAGTGCAGGCTACACCCTACACCCCCTGCATGGGTAACAGTGCAGGCTACACCCCCCACCCCCTGCATTGGTAACAGTGCAGGCTACACCCCACACTCCCTGCATGGGTAACAGTGCAGGCTACACCACACACCCCCTGCATGGGTAACAGTGCAGGCTACACCCCACACCCCCTGCATGGGTAACAGTGCAGGCTACACCCCCCGCCCCCTGCATGGGTAACAGTGCAGGCTACACCCCCCTGCATGGGTAACAGTGCAGGATACACCCCCACACCCCCTGCATGGGTAACAGTGCAGGCTACACCCCCCTGCATGGGTAACAGTGCAGGCTACACCCCCCTGCATGGGTAACAGTGCAGGCTACACCCCCCCTGCATGGGTAACAGTACAGGCTACACCCCCTGCATGGGTAACAGTGCAGGCTACACCCCCACACCCCCTGCATGGGTAACAGTGCAGGCTACACCACACACCCCCTGCATGGGTATCAGTGCAGGCTACACCCCCACACCCCCTACATGGGTAACAGTGCAGGCTACACCCCACACCCCCTGCATGGGTAACAGTGCAGGCTACACCCCACACCCCCTGCATGGGTAACAGTGCAGGCTACACCCCCTACATGGGTAACAGTGCAGGCTACACCCCACACCCCCTGCATGGGTAACAGTGCAGGCTACACCCCCTACATGGGTAACAGTGCAGGCTACACCCCACACCCCCCTGCATGGGTAACAGTGCAGGCTACACCCCACACCCCCTGCATGGGTAACAGTGCAGGCTACACCCCACACCCCCTGCATGGGTAACAGTGCAGGCTACACCCCCTACATGGGTAACAGTGCAGGCTACACCCCACACCCCCCTGCATGGGTAACAGTGCAGGCTACACCCCACACCCCCTGCATGGGTAACAGTGCAGGCTACACCCCACACCCCCTGCATGGGTAACAGTGCAGGCTACACCCCACACCCCCTGCATGGGTAACAGTGCAGGCTACACCCCACACCCCCTGCATGGGTAACAGTGCAGGCTACACCCCCCTGCATGGGTAACAGTGCAGGCTACACCCCTCACCCCCTGCATGGGTAACAGTGCAGGCTACACCCCACACCCCCTGCATGGGTAACAGTGCAGGCTACACCCCCTACATGGGTAACAGTGCAGGCTACACCCCACACCCCCTGCATGGGTAACAGTGCCGGCTACACCCCCTACATGGGTAACAGTGCAGGCTACACCCCATACATGGGTAACAGTGCAGGCTACACCCCCACACCCCCTACATGGGTAACAGTGCAGGCTACACCCCACACCCCCTACATGGGTAACAGTGCAGGCTACACCACACACCCCCTGCATGGGTAACAGTACAGGCTACACCACACACCCCCCTACATGGGTAACAGTACAGGCTACACCACACACCCCCTACATGGGTAACAATGCAGGCTACACCACACACCCCCTGCATGGGTAACAGTGCAGGCTACACCCCCTACATGGGTAACAGTGCAGGCTACACCACACACCCCCTGCATGGGTAACAGTGCAGGCTACATCCCCTACATGGGTAACAGTGCAGGCTACACCACACACCCCCTGCATGGGTAACAGTGCAGGCTACACCCCACACCCCCTACATGGGTAACAGTGCAGGCTACACCCCCCTGCATGGGTAACAGTGCAGGCTACACCCCACACCCCCTGCATGGGTAACAGTGCAGGCTACACCCCCTACATGGGTAACAGTGCAGGCTACACCACACACCCCCTACATTGGTAACAGTGCAGGCTACACCCCACACCCCCTACGTGGGTAACAGTGCAGGCTACACCCCCCCCCCCCTGCATGGGTAACAGTGCAGGCTACACCCCACACCCCCTGCATGGGTAACAGTGCAGGCTACACCCCACACCCCCTACATGGGTAACAGTGCAGGCTACACCCCACACCCCCTACATGGGTAACAGTGCAGGCTACACCACACACCCCCTACATGGGTAACAGTGCAGGCTACACCACACACCCCCTGCATGGGTAACAGTGCAGGCTACACCCCCTACATAGGTAACAGTGCAGGCTACACACTCTACATGGGTAACAGTGCAGGCTACACCCCACACCCCCTGCATGGGTAACAGTGCAGGCTACACCCCACACCCCCTGCATGGGTAACAGTGCAGGCTACACCCCACACCCCCTGCATGGGTAACAGTGCAGGCTACACCCCACACCCCCTACATGGGTAACAGTGCAGGCTACACCAAACACCCCCTACATGAGTAACAGTACAGGCTACACCCCCCCGGCATGGGTAACAGTGCAGGCTACACCCCACACCCCCTGCATGGGTAACAGTGCAGGCTACACCCCACACCCCCTACATGGGTAACAGTGCAGGCTATACCCCCCCCCCTGCATGGGCAACAGTGCAGGCTACACCCCCCTTGCATGGGTAACAGTGCAGGCTACACCCCCCCCTGCATGGGTAACAGTGCAGGCTACACCCCACACCCCCTGCATAGGTAACAGTGCAGGCTACACCCCCCCTGCATGGGTAACAATGCAGGCTACACCCCCCCCCCTGCATGGGTAACAGTGCAGGCTACACCCCACACCCCCTGCATGGACAACAGTGCAGGCTACACCCCCCCCCCTGCATGGGTAACAGTGCAGGCTACACCCCACACCCCCTACATGGGTAACAGTGCAGGCTACACCCCCCCTGCATGGGTAACAGTGCAGGCTACACCCCCCCTTGCATGGGTAACAGTGCAGGCTACACCCCCCCTGCATGGGCAACAGTGCAGGCTACACCCCCCCTTGCATGGGTAACAGTGCAGGCTACACCCCCCCCTTGCATGGGCAACAGTGCAGGCTACACCCCCACCCCTGCATGGGTAACAGTGCAGGCTACACCCCCCCCCTTGCATGGGTAACAGTGCTGGCTACACCCCCCCCCCTTGCATGGGCAACAGTGCAGGCTACACCCCCCCCTGCATGGGTAACAGTGCAGGCTACACCCCCCCTGCATGGGTAACAGTGCAGGCTACACCCCCCTTGCATGGGTAACAGTGCAGGCTACACCCCCCCTGCATGGGTAACAGTGCAGGCTACACCCCCCCCCTGCATGGGTAACAGTGCAGGCTACACCCCCCCCCTGCATGGGCAACAGTGCAGGCTACACCCCCCCCCCTTGCATGGGTAACAGTGCAGGCTACACCCCCCCTGCATGGGTAACAGTGCAGGCTACACCCCCTGCATGGGTAACAGTGCAGGCTACACCCCCCTTGCATGGGTAACAGTGCAGGCTACACCCCTCACCCTCTACATGGGTAAC